ATTTTCACTATAAATATGAATAGATTTAACAAGTTGTCTTACTAGTTTGTGGATTTTACAAGATTATTTTTACAACAGGTGAGGTAATTCCCAATACACCTTTACAGAAAAATGTTTTAAACGCATTACTTAACTATAAATATAAAAAAGATTTTACACGTATTCAACCACAGGGACGGTAAATTATTTAAAAAACATGAAATGATTATTTTATGAGGATACTATATTTTTAGGGTTCCATACGTCCGAAAGAAATACGGAATCCTCATAAAATCATTCGTGTATCTGTCTGTTTGTATGTCATAATCAATTTTGCACCGAATCTATTGGACGGATTAAGTTGAAATTTACTGTACGTATGAATTTCTAAGACCCAAACACGGACGCATAACGTAAATAAATTAATTTTGAACAGGGGGTCATTTTTGGGTGGCCAAGGGAAATCAAAGAAAATTTTTTNTATCTATTCAGAAAAAGATGACGAAAGGAATTTTTATATCAATTAACAATTGTTTTCTGATATTAATTAGTAGTTAATTAAATTAAAAAGTTGCAAAAATAGAAAAGAAAACCAAAAATTGTTTCGAAAATACCGTTGATTTAGTATTTCCTTTTTATTAATAACAAATTACCCTGTCAGTCTAACAAAAACTTGTCATTTAGGTTTTCCTAATGACGTAATTTTATTTCACTTCCTTCGGGAACTTCAGTGACTTTTTTATATATCCTTTTGAGGGTACATCGGTCGACTAAATATCTACACTGCATCAATATTAATTTACTCATTATTTATGATTAAATACACTTCCTACATCTATTAATAATTAAGTAGGTATGCTGTGGTTAATTCCTTGTTCTATTTTTGTATTTATTATTATTTTTTTTTTTGATTGAATGTACTTTTTGGTATTTACGTTAATGTTAATGACATACTTTAGCCAAAAATTGAATGTTTCGAAACGTATGAATGTTACCTGACTACCTTGGGTTAATTATTATTCCAAGTATCCAAGTGTTTCAATGGTCGTATACGTAGGTACATTACAAGTAACGGATTTCGGCAAATGTCGAACGGGAATCCCAGAACTCGATTTCCCCTTTTTGTAAAAATTTATTTCTCGTTGCTAAAAACGTTAACCTTTTGCGAAATGTACAGCCTGTCTCAAAAGAATTTTTTTAGCCTTCGAAATATTCTTATTTTTAAAATTAACAACCACAACATTTGGAATTAGGGTTGCCACCCGTACTTTATTATAAAGTATTGTACTCTATTTCGACTGTTCNTTACTGGTATAACAGTTTCTTAACGGTTTTTTTTTTTTTTTATATAAAAACATACTTGCCAACAAGTCACATTAAGAATCCGAAAACGCTAATTTAGGATGACAGATTGGATATTAAAACGTGTATTAAGTTTTTGAACGTTTAGTGCGAGATTTTGAATTTTTAGTATTTACATAATTTCAATCTGTTTAGTCCTTTTGATTTTCTTGTAAAACTGCATTAAAATTAGAAAATATTAATACAACGGATTTAAACAGATTAATTATTTGTGTCAAGAAGTGTTTGTGTGGTTAATATTAATCTACGTGTGGTAATCTTGATTTCAATGTCTATTAATTTTTAAATTAACTGGACAACATATTCATAACCCCAATATACACGATGTTAGACATAATTGACTTCAGTTGGACTGTGTATTCAATTATAAATTCATTAAACAATCGTTACCATAATAATGATGGTACCTTATAATTGTCTTTTAGGATTTGTTTGATTAATGTAATAAATATTGTGAATAATTTCACCCGGTGGTGAATAATTTTATTCTTACAGGTATAGTAACAACGTAACTGTACGAACAAATTCATTGTAATATACATACAATACTTTTAAGTATATTTATGTAAATCATGGAATTGTTTATACTAAAAAAATATTTGGCTCATTTTACCGCATCGAACTTACAATTAGTGAAGTGACTTATTAATTATAAAAATATGTTTATTTTCCTTACTAAAAGGGTACAAAATGGGGTCAAAATTGAATGATTCTGCTTACACATCATACCTAAATAATAACTTATTTAAACTTTATATCAGAGAGGGGTACCTCGTTTAAATCCGACAAGGATTCAAACAAAAGAGCATTATTATTGATACTGTAACAACACCTTTCTGAATTTTTTCTTTTAGTGGCGCGAATTAAAATGCATATAATTTGCTAAACGTGTAGAATATGTTTTCTTAAACCACCTGCATGCCTGAAAACTGTTCTAAAGTAACTGAATACTTAAAATTTTTTGAACAATGCGTAACACCCTCAAATGCTTTATATTGTACTAGGTTTTATCCGTGGCTTGGCTCTCATTGATGTTCTAAACACGTGTCAACGATCATCGATAAAACTAATTTTTTCTATCCATCGGGAACATTTTTTTCTGGATAAAAGGTACCCTATGTCGTTTTCTGTACGACCGACAATGTGTGTAGAAAATTTCATGATAGGTTTTACCCCTTTGTAATTAGGATTTATCGGACTACTCTCTGAGTCACATATACACTAGTGGTAAGTTGTGACCCGAATATAGATATACAAGGTCTGTTCAAAAAGTATCGCGAATTTTGAATTTCCGCGGGTTAGGTATATTCGATTTTCGATTTTTTTGTGGCATTATGTTAGTACTTACGCCTCTCACTTATACCGATAAGTTAAGCCATGTTGAATGATCAGTTAATTTTTGACAGCTGCTTTGCTTGGACGTGTTTCGGCTTGTCTCCGATTTTTGCCTATTCAAAAAAATTGATCAAATAATCTGTATCAAATTTTGTGTGAAAAACAAAATTAAGCATTCCGAATGTTGACTGTGGCATGTGATGAAGCTATCTTGGACCAAAGCAACGTTTATCGGTGGTACAAAATGTTCTCAGAGGGCCGAGAAGATGTGAACGACAAAGAGCGTGCCGAGCGCCCGAGTACGTTAACAACAGACGAAAACATTGATGAAGTGAAGAAAATAGTGTTGGTCAATCGTCGAATCACCGTTAGAAAGTTGCTGAGGACTTAAAACATATCGATTGGCTCGTGCCTTTCGATTTTTACCAACGATTTGGGCATGAGACGTGTCGCTGCGAAATTCGTACCAAAATTACTCAATTTGACCAAAAACAGCATCGCATTAACATTGTTAAGGAGCTGTTGGACTCTATCCGCGACGACCCAAATTTGCTCCAGATGGTCATAACTGGTGACGAATCATGGGTTTATGGTTATGACGTGGAAACCAAAGCTCAATCATCCCATTGAAAGCTGCCGAACGAGTCAACACCGAAAAAAGCGCGCCAAGATAGGTCGAATGTGAAGCTTTTGCTTACAGTTTTCTTCGATTGCAGGGACGTGTTGTGTCATGAGTTCTTGATGTAGAATGGTCAATAAGAAATATTACCTGCATGTTATGCGCAATTTGCGGGAAACGATCCGCCAGAAACGCCCGGATTTGTGGAAGAACAAAAATTGGCTTTTGCACAATAAAAATGCCCCTGCTCACACATCATTGCTTGTGGGCGAATTTTTATCAAAAACAACACACTAAAAATGCTGCAGCTACCGTATTCTCCAGATCTGCCCCCCTGTGCCTTTTTATTGTTCCCGAAACTGAAGAGGTCCATGAAACGACCACGCTACTCTACGATTTAGAAGATAAAGACTGCATCGAAGAAGGAGGTAAACAAGATCACAAAAAATAATATTTTGAAGTGCTTTGGGGATTGGAAAAAACGTTGACACAAGTGTATAATATCTGGTGGAGATTACTTTGAAGGGGGCAAAATAATATTCATGAATAAGTAAATAATTTTTGAAAAAACACAAAATTCGTGATACTTTTGGAAAAGGCCTCGTATTAATTATAAAACGCGGTATTACCTATTGCAAAATGCAAGGTGGTATTGGAAAATTTGAAAAACTACCTTCAAACATCTTTTCATATCCTAACTAATATTGAAAATGCGAATGTCAATTTGTAAACACTTTGTTAGGAGTATAGAAAAGGGCATAGGGTATTAATTATAAAACGCGGTATTACCTATTGCAAAATGCAAGGTGCTATTGGAAAATTTGAAAAACTACCTTCAAACATCTTTTCATATCCTAACTAATATCGAAAATGGGAATGTCAATTTGTAAACACTTTGTTAGGAGTATAGAAAAGGGCGTAGGGTGGCTTTTATCCAGAAAAAAGTACTTTTCTCGAGGAAAAGAAAAAAATCAGTTTTATATTGTCGTGGATGATTATTGACATGTATTTAGGACATCAACCCGAGCGAAGCCAAGGGTAAAACCTAGTAAACAATAAAGTAATTATTGATTACAGAGAATTGCAAGCAAAAATCAAATTGACACACGATATTAAATATTAAATTACCTTAGAAGTACAAAAAACGTAAAAGCATTTCTCAAAATTTTTACAATTTTATTTTTTTTTTTACACGGATGCAAATATAGTCATTTACTAATCCTACCAACAGGTCCGTATCTTCCGTAATATTAATTAATTAAAATACATTTTTTTAATATCTTTTAATTTTATAAAGAAAATTGTTTTGTGCGTGATTTAACTAAAATAACAGGATTTTTAAACTAGTTATAATATTAACGGAATTTCTTTCCAAACTGAAAAAGAAAATTAAGTTTTGCAGGTATGCAAGGCCATGTCGTAAAAAATCAGCTGTTATCTAGTGACGTTAATTCAGTATAAAAAATTAGTAACCAAATGTATGCACAATTAAATTAACAATTTAAATATATGAAATACTTTTAGCACAAAATAATATAGCTACTATGAACCGGGTTTTTGTTTTTTGAACTGACCAATATGATAACTGCATTTTAGATTAATCGCGACGTTGCCAGACAATTAAAAAAACCATTGCACTATTATTATAAACAAACAGGCAGGTAGTACTCCCATCGGTAGTAATTTTGATCATGCATCATCTTACCGAATGATTGCTTTGTCATTGGGTGACAAGTCACTGGAAAAAACTTCGAACCACACGAACGCACTTGACAAAAACAATGAATTCAACAAACAGTTTTATAACAACGACTTGAGAGTGTTGCCGTTTTCCGAGTATTTTCTTGTATCTATTGTATCACCAGCAAATGACAGCGGTCTTGGACATCGGCCAGACTGATTTGTTAACATATAAAGGAAATAATCTTGGTTGTTGTTTCTTGATGGAAAAAGGTGGTGGGGTGCTAAACGAGTACATAATGTAAGAAACGATTATCTGTCACATTTGAACCGTGACTTAAAGACGGCCAAGAGCGAATGCAAACTAATTAGTAATTACATATTCAACAAACGTTTTTGTACCCCTATGTCGTTTTCTGTACGACCGACAATGTGTGTAGAAAATTTCATGATAGGTTTTACCCGCGGCTTCGCTCGCTTTGATATCAAACGAGTCAATGATCTTCCACGACCACATAAAACTAATTGTTTTATTCTCCAGGAACATTGCCTTTTTTCTGGTTAAAAGGTACTCTATATCCTTTTCTGTATCCCTGACAATGTGTGTAGAAAATTTCATGATAGGTTTTACCCGCGGCTTCGCTCGCTTTGATATCAAACGAGTCAATGATCTTCCACGACCACATAAAACTAATTGTTTTATTCTCCAGGAACAGTGCCTTTTTTCTGGTTAAAAGGTACTCTATATCCTTTTCTGTATCCCTGACAATGTGTGTAGAAAATTTCATGATAGGTTTTACCCGCGGCTTCGCTCGCTTTGATATCAAACGAGTCAATGATCTTCCACGACCACATAAAACTAATTGTTTTATTCTCCAGGAACAGTGCCTTTTTTCTGGTTAAAAGGTACTCTATATCCTTTTCTGTATCCCTGACAATGTGTGTAGAAAATTTCATGATAGGTTTTACCCGCGGCTTCGCTCGCTTTGATATCAAACGAGTCAATGATCTTCCACGACCACATAAAACTAATTGTTTTATTCTCCAGGAACAGTGCCTTTTTTCTGGTTAAAAGGTACTCTATATCCTTTTCTGTATCCCTGACAAT